TGAACCAATAAAATGTTACCGACTCTAAGTCTCTTCGAAGATTATCTTTCTCGAGCCATCAACATCAAAATACCCTTTCGCAACCACCATTACTACACAACCACTTACTCTTCTTGAGTCCTACTCATTGACAGGCATGAAAATTTAATTTGCCCCAAAATTTAACAACGTGAAAGATCCTTCAAAACATTCACACTCTAGACCGTACGTCACATCAAAACGAAAATCAAGCACCCAATGGAATTCCTTTATATTTCAAGAAAACACTTCTCGTCACATTCACATCATCTTAACACCGCCCACAGTTACATCATACTCACCACAAAGCCATTTCACCGCTCATCGAGCCACAAATTCTGCTCGTAGGGATATTATCGGACATATGAGTCCAAATGTATAAGTTACAACTGAAGCTACCGAGCCTAAGCTGCAGTGTAACCATGGTCTCAAGTCCTCCAAATTGGCCCATAACCAAAACAAATAACACATCTCAAACATTGTTCGTAGAATCACAAGCTGGCGATGTACAACTGATACCGAGCGCTCATGTGCGCATACGAATACGTGGAAGGAATTCAAGGAGTTATGTTCCAAGCAAAATCAATTTTGCATGATAGAATACAAGAAAGTGAAATTTTTCTAAGGCTTTTGCAGCCTCTCGAAGATAAGTACGGACGTCTCCGTACCGATCCACAAGACTCTACTAACCCGCTCATGACTCGTGAGACCTATGTAACCTAGGCTCTGATACCAATCTGTGATGGCCCAAATACCTAACCTGTCGTGATGGCGCCTATCGTGGTACTAGGGAAGCCCACTCATTCCAAAACCAACTGATATTTTCATTTCAAGGATACTTTCAAGGCTATTTAGCGTAAAAACCTTCGTAAAGAAGTTCAAATCAAAACAAAAGTGCGAAAAAGAAAAAGCCCGACATCGGGGTGTCACTAGTCATAAGCATCTACTACAATATGTCTAACAATATCAAAGCTAACTCATCCGAGAAAATAGCTAAATACAATTAAAGAAAGATAAGAGCGAGAAGAGCAGGGGTTGCGATCGCCAAGCAGCTACATTGCTATCGCTGAGAAAAAAAAATTGCAACCATTATAATCAATAACCGCTACCGTGTCCAGCTAAATCTGGATCTGCACAGAAGGTGAATGGAGTAACATGAGTACGCCAACTCAGTAAGTAACAACAATAAATGAAGATTGAGCAGTAGTGACGAGCAATAAAGCATATAACGTTCATATCATGAAATCTCAGTAAAATACCACATGCTTTTAAAAATCAGGATTTGAATCAAAATATTTCGTTTAAACCAAGTTCCAGTAAAATCATTTAAAGATATTTTTCAACAGTTTTCAAACAGAGGAAAAATGCACAGGTGAGCTAAAATAATGAAATCATAAACGGCCCCTCGGGCAAATCATCACTCATATACAGCCCCTCGGGCAAACCTCACAGTCACTCGTGCCACTCGGGCATACCTCACAATCACTCTTGCCACTCGGGCATACCTCACAATCACTTTTGCCACTCGGGCATACCTCATAATTACTCATGCCTCACAGTCACTCAGCACTCGGTACTCGCACTCAGTAGGTACTGGCGCTCACTGGGGGTGTGTAAAGACTCCTAAGGGGCTCCTTCACCCCGAGCGTTATATCAAGCCAAATCATGGCATAAATCACTCAGGCACTCGGCCTATATCAAACATGTTGCGCCGTGCAGTCCGATCTCATAAATATCCTCACACATCAGGCCCTCGGCCTCACTTAGTCATAAACCTCTCAAGCCACTCGAGCATTTCAGTAAAAACAGTTATATGCATCAAAATAAAGTCATAAAACTGAGTTATGCAGTAAACAAGTATAACCATGACTCAGTATAGATTTTCATTTGAAAACAGTGAGAGGATAGTAAGAAAAGGCCCTTAAGGGTCCAAACAGCACTAGCACAAAGCCCAAACATGACATTCAGCCCAATTTACAGAAATTCTTTCTGAAACACATATGTATCATATAATTTAAACAAAATATGCAACTTTACAGTTGCTACAGGACGGACCAAGTCACAATCCCCAGTAGTGCATGCCCACACACCCGTCACCTAGCATGTGCGTCACCTCAAAATAGTAAAATGACACAAAATTCGGGTTTTCATACCCTCGGGACTAAATTTACAATCGTTACTTACCTCAAATCGGTCAAATCTCTACCCCGCAATGTTCTTGCCTCTCGACTCGGCCTCCAAATGCTCCAAATCTATTCACAATCATTACAATACTATCAATATACGCTAATGGAATGAATTCCACAAGAAAAACTATCAAATTAGCCCAAAACCCGAAATTGGCTCAACCCGGCCCCAGGGTCCATGTCTCGAAATCCAACAAAATTTTCAAAACTAGAAATCACATTCACTCACGGGTCCATACATACGAAATTTATCAAAATCCAACATCATTTGGTCCTTCAAATCCTTAAATTACTCTCCAAAAATCTCAAGCCCTAACCCCTCACTTTCACTACAAAATCCTACTAATTAATGATGAAAAAAGCCATAGATTCACGAAATTTATATCATTATGGGTTAGGATCACTTACCCTAATGTTTCTCCTTGAAAATCTTCGAAAAATCGCCTCTCTCCCGAGTTTCTCAAATCCAAAAATTGAAAAATGAAGACAGAACCACGAGCTGGGGCTTTTCAGCCCAGCACATTCGCACCTGCGGCCAAATGTCCGCTCCTGCGGAACCGTACCTGCGGTCGAATTCTCGCACCTGCGAGAACCACTTAAGTCCCTAAATTCCGCACCTGCGCCCCAGGTTTCGCGACTGCGGGCGCGCACCTGGGCAACACTTCCGCTTCTGTGGAAACGACTCAACTCTTCCTTTCCGCAGCTGTACTCAAGGCCTCGCACCTGCAGGCTCGCATATGAGGAAAATCCTTCGCACCTGCGTTCGCAGCCTTGGCCTTCCATTTCCGCATCTGAGGCTACCCCAAACGTACATGCGACCTCGCATCTGCGACTCCTCCTTCCGCAGGTGCGGAAATATCACTAGCAGCAGCGTCAGCTGCATTTTCCAACTTGAACAAATTCGTTAACCACCCGAATTCACCCCGAGGCCCTCCGGACCTCAACCAAAAATACCAACAAGTCATATATCAACATACAAACTTAGTCGAACTTTCGAATCAGTCAAAACAACATCAAATTATCAAATTACCCTCGGATTCAAGTTTAAGTACTTCTAAACTTCCAAATTCGACAACCGATGCCGAAACCAACCAAACCACGTCCGAATGACCTCATATCTTGCACACACATCACAAATGACACTACGAACCTACTCCAACTTCCGAAATTCTATTCCGACCCCGATATCAAATTTTCCATTGTCGACCGAAATCGCTAAATTTTGAAATTTCGCCAATTCAAGCCTAATTCTACTACGGACCTCCAAATCACATTCCGGATGCACTCCCAAGTCCAAAATAACCTAACGGGGCTAATGGAACCGTCAAAATTCCAATCCGAGGTGAAATGCTAAAAAGTCAAACTTGGTCAACTCTCCTAATTCAAATCTTCAACAATGAAATTCTTTCTTCCAATTCGATTACGAAATACCTGCAAACCAAAAACGACGATTCACACAAGTCAAAGTACATGATACTGAGATACTCATGCCCTCAAATATCCGAGCGAAGTGCACATGTTCAAAATGACAGGTCGGGTCGTTACAATTTCCATGCTTATATGGTATGAAATTAACATTATACTATAAAAATGAAACTATTTCTCCAATAAATTTCTCGTGAAGCTCTAAATGAAAATATCGTTATATTTTGCTTCAAATCCCATCTATGTTCGCTTATTGGTTATTAGCTAGAAATTACTCTTAATTAAATTTGGTTATTATTTTAATTTGTATTTCTTATATTTGCCCTAAATTCAATGGACAAGAATATCTATATCATGTGAAAAAAGCCAACAATGTACAATACTTTAGTTTAGTAGTTTCTTGAGTTGCAAGTGATATGTATATTTATATTACTAATACTTGACACTGATTTGCTTATCCTAAAAAATTAAGAAATGGTGCAAATTTCTGTTAATATTCCTTCAAAAAATATATCTTACACTCACTTATTATTTACAAATATCTTTAATATCGTACTCGAAATTTAAATATAATAACTTTATAAAAGAAATTAGCTAAAATAATTAAAAGGCCAATCAAGATATAATGTGCAATCTAAAGAAAGTAGACGACATAAAGATTATTTCAAAAAGTAAATATTCATTAGCTAAAAATATAGGCAAAACATACCTAAGCAGTTAATATTTTGTAGAATTTCCTCTAATACTTGAGAACATTGATAAAAGATAAGAAACATTTATGCAATATGTTATATGAGAGTACTAGTTAATCGAGTATAATCTTTCAACACAATTTGTAGATCGCAATGTTGTGACCGTGGGCAGGCAGGCAGCACGGGCTTTACTTCCGCTAGTCCTTTAAATACACGAGAACAAAGCTACAATTTCAATCCTATAACTTATATTTGAGGAGAGATTAAAGGAAAAACAACAAAGACCAACCACCTAGATTGCCCATTGATTAGACACACTTCATTCATAAAATTTAGATAATAAGGTTTACCAAAATTCAAGTCTAAAATCAAGGGACCAGTATTCCCTCAAGTTGCTATTTTTTGAAATTTTGTGTCATGAAGGGTACTCCTCCGGTCAATATCAGTTTGTCATATTTTATTTTTTTTTTACGTCCCGAGAAAACTATTTTTAGAAGAATAATTATTACTAAGGATAAAATAAAAAATAATTAATTGCATCTTAATTTTCTAAAATGACATGTATTTTAGATATATTATTTTAGTAGCCACGATAACTAAAATGGATTAATTATTTGATAGTGTTAATTGAAATGATAATTACTAACCCAAAAATGACCATATTCGCTCGAAAAATTCAATATCAGAGGTACTCATGGTTGTTGTTCGGGTTTTGTTTAGTGGCTTGAAATCTCGCGGACTGGGCTGCTTAGAGTTTGTTCGTTTTGTTTCAAAGGAAGATTGCTGTGTCGCTAATGGCTTTTCGTCTCTTAGGGTAAGTTGTTTTTTTCAGCCTAACTTTTGTTTTTTCCTAAGGTTTGTTTGATCGCTGTCTCAATTTTTGGGGGATTTTTAAATTTTTGGTTTGGGTAGAAGACAAATGGCACAAATCAGGTATAAAAGTTTTTCTTTTGATGGCAGAATTTTACCCCCTTTTTTTTTTACGAAGAGGTCAAGCGAGCTCTGCTGCTTAGGGTTTGTTTGGTTTCAACGGAGATTGCTCTGCACTATGGCTTTCCACCTCGGAGGGTGGGTTGGTTAATTTTTGATTTATCCGACGAGTTGATCCATTTTTGTTTCATGTTTTGTTTTCTTATGGTTTGGGTAGAAAACAATTGGCTGCTGGTAGGGTTTTGCTCGGAGCACCAAGAACACAAATGAGGTATGTGGGCGGCGACGGTAGATATATTGTTATTGTTATTGTTATTGAGGTTTCGTGTCTTCTTGATTCCGAATTAGGGGTTACTGCCAGCAATTTTCTTCCGGTCAGGGAGGCGATTTTCATCCTGAGGGTAAATTTTTCAACGTCCTGTCTTAGTTTCGCTTCAAATTTCAAATTTCAAATTTCAAATCTCACACTGTCATGTCTCTGCTCCTTGCATGCAGTTCAAGCTTTCTATAACGGGATAGTCTTCGGTGGGCTTCCCACCTTGTTCTGGTGTGTAGCTTGACATTGGATGGATTTTGTTTTAAATGATAAAAAATAACGTGAAAATAAAAAATACTGTATCTACTACATGTGCATAAAATGATGTGACTGTCTTTCCAGCTGGGCTAATTATTTTGCAGAAACTTTTGTCTTCTGAAACACTTAATTCTTAATTTTGTTTGCAGGGCAAATTGGCAAATGTGGAAGATCGATCAGTAAGTTATTCCTTCTCTAATTTTTTTTTTCTCGAAAGTTAATAATTATTGTTCACAAAACAGAAAAAAAAACACACTAAGTGTATAACTTGAAGGAACTCTGTGAAATCTGAAATAGATTCTGCCTCTTCTACAACTCCATTCTGCACAAAAAATAAAACATAATTACATAGTTATACATGATTGCTGTGAGTTTTGAATATGCCTTCAAAATATCTTGCATTTCTTTCTACCAAATGAAAAATGGGATAGTGTTCTGCCCCCTTTGTCCAGTCCAGGTATATGTCAACTTCTCAAAAGATCAGGTGTTGTACCTGATGTTCATAAAATTCAAGAAAATCTGCTACACTTAAGGATAAGCTTCTCTCAAAGTATAAACTTTTTGAATATAACTTTCTGGTTTTATTGCTCCCTAAATCTGATATCGTTTGGTGCCTGGGATTCTAGTACCTGCTTTTGCGTTTAATGTCTGGTGAGTTGGTCTTGTTTTAATATGAACTTATTATCTATCCTCCTTGTATTGAATTCACTTTGATCTTTGTCTCTAGGTCAAGTAACGAGGTTTATACTGAGAGGTCTATGGAGATTGAAAAGATCCTGAAGGAGCTCAGCTAATGATTGGTTTGGCGCTTACAATGATGTATGACGCTAGCCTTGGGATGTAGGTGTTTGTTAATTGTTTTTATGCATACTTGGTTGTGGTCATTACGGAGATGCTTACTCTAATTTATATACCTATCCTCCTGGTATTGAATTCACTTTGATCTTTGTCTCTAGGTCAAGTAACGAGGTTTATACTGAGAGGTCTATGGAGATTGAAAAGATCCTGAAGGAGCTCAGCTAATGATTGGTTTGGCGCTTACAATGATGTATGACGCTAGCCTTGGGATGTAGGTGTTTGTTAATTGTTTTTATTCATACTTGGTTGTGGTCATTACGGAGATGCTTACTCTAATTTATATACCTATCCTCCTGGTATTGAATTCACTTTGATCTTTGTCTCTAGGTCAAGTAACGAGGTTTATACTGAGAGGTCTATGGAGATTGAAAAGATCCTGAAGGAGCTCAGCTAATGATTGGTTTGGCGCTTACAATGATGTATGACGCTAGCCTTGGGATGTAGGTGTTTGTTAATTGTTTTTATTCATACTTGGTTGTGGTCATTACGGAGATGCTTACTCTAATTTATATACCTATCCTCCTGGTATTGAATTCACTTTGATCTTTGTCTCTAGGTCAAGTAACGAGGTTTATACTGAGAGGTCTATGGAGATTGAAAAGATCCTGAAGGAGCTCAGCTAATGATTGGTTTGGCGCTTACAATGATGTATGACGCTAGCCTTGGGATGTAGGTGTTTGTTAATTGTTTTTATGCATACTTGGTTGTGGTCATTACGGAGATGCTTACTCTAATTTATATACCTATCCTCTCGCATCATATATCCTACTAGTTAAAACTCATTCATCGTTGATTGTGTGATGCCCTTTTTGAAAGGTATACTATACGCTCACTAATTTTTTTTTTTTTTTTTTTTAAAATCTCTCCCAAATTAAAAGGATCTATAGTGTTTTCATATTTTTCCTCCAGCGTAACTCGAACCCAGGACCTAACGGTTGTGGATGGAGATGTTTTACCAAATGAGCAAGTCTCGGACTCATACCGATGTATTTGTTGTTGATCAGTGTGTTATTGCTATGAAATTGCTGGCTAATGCTCGACAAAGTAAACTATGTACAGCCTGCAATACATCGTATCGTATCGTGACAAGCTTGCCTTTAATATCCTCAGACAGCTCAACTACACTCTTTTCAAACGATTTGCATAGAGACGTTCCATACTAACACTTGTTTCATCTCACACCCCTGACAATACAACAAGAGGCACTTGGATGTTGTTAAAGCTCATATTTTCTTAATAGATCAGCCCGGTGCACTAAGCTCCCGCTATGCGAGGTTCAGGGAAGGATCAGATCGTAAATGTCTATTGTACGCGGTCTTACCTTGCATTTTTGCAAGAGGTTGTTTTCGCGGCTCGAACCTGTGACCTCGTGGTCACATGGCAACAACTTTACCAGTTATATCATCCTCTTGTCGATCTCTATCCCAAGGCATCAAGAATTCAAACTCTCTAACCTGAAGTTCATACAAAAAGTTAATCTTTTCTGTCAACTTAAGCAAAATAGGAGTCTTCAAATCCTCTAATGATTTTGATTTGCTATTAGGTTTTTCTCATGGCCTGCCCCTTATCCGTTTTCTCTCTATTAGATGGCTTTTCTTCTTTCAGATCAAATTTTATCATCTGAAGTGTATATATATATATATATATATATATATGTCACTTGCAAATTCAACAAAAATTTAGAAGTGATTGTATTATTTGGATATTTCCACTTTTTTATGCAACAATTTGGTTCTTAATTTCTATCTAGTTTTTTCTTAACAAACTCGTTACATAATGAGTCGTCCACAAATTTATCGTCCCATATGAACACAAATAACAATACTAATTAATCTCGTACAAGAACCACGAGCATAGACGATTAAATAGCTGTAAATTTTACTTCGTTTCACGTTGGGGGGTTGGGGGGG